GGGTTTCAGGCATCCACTGGGGGTCTTGGAAAGTATCCCTGCAGGTACGGGGGAACTGCTATATAGTACATGACTTCCATAGCTCAGTCCAGGGAGCATCAGAGGGTACCTAATCAGGGTTGCTATTGGATTATAAATTACATAAATTCCACGTCTTTTGTAGGGAGTCATATGTCTAATTTGAGCATCCTTTACAGCTGCTTTTGTGACCCAGCAGTCACTTGTAACTGTCTTATATGTACGTAGGTTGCAGGGGATGGCAGTCACTGGGAAGCAATGAGAGTGCTAATGTGAAAAATAAAATGGTGTATTAAGAATCCAGTAACGCTGATCGCTTGGGAGTTTCATCTCTACATGTATCAGCAGTCATCACCCTGGCCTCCTGCTGGTCCTGCCCTTTCGCTCTAACTTGCCAACCTCACGAAGCCTTGCTCACCTGCCCCCCTTATCTCCTTGCGCTGTTGCTGGTGGTTACCATCGACTGGACAGCTTGGGCCAGAGACCTCTCGCCCTTCCATCAGATGAAATATAGAAGCCATGGATTCTTGATATCAGAGAAACAAATATAGATTCTTATTAGAAACTCGTTTAGAGGAACCAAAACACACATAAAAATGTATAAGGAGTAATAAGAATGGAGAAAGACAAATGATAACAACATCGAGGGCTCTGACCTATGGCTGTAAAATTTTCACAGAAGACTTTCTGGGACGCAGACACGTCCTGACCAGGTGGCCTTGAGGTGCTGTGCCTGCAGCCGAGGGGACCACAGTGGCGCAGGCCTGTGCACACACACAGACCTAGGAGCTCTGCAGGGGGACTTAGATGTTTAAGAGCCCGAGAATTTCTTGCTACTCTGACCCCTCAATGGCAGAGGCCATTCCTACTACATGAAACCCTACACGTGGCCTCGGGGAGGAGGAAGGAGATCAGAGCAGCTGGGAGAAAGCCCTCGCACCGGCTCCTTCCTGGAGGAAGGAGGCAATCCTGGAGCGGGCACTTAGGAAAGGGAGGCAGAGCTTGCTCACAGCTGGGCTGCTGGAGGGACGCAGCGAGACCAGTCCCTGCCCGCGCTGTCTCCCGAGAGGCTGGGCTTCCCTGTACGTGGAGAGTAGAGATGTGACGGATAAGGATGCCTGCAAATTCCTTGACACTCGTCCCTCCAAGGCTGGGTCTGATCCCCGTGCCCTGGAATCTGAGCGGGCTGCGACTGCTCTGACCGGTAAATTATGGCAGAAGTGAAGCCGTGCCTGGCCTTTCAGGGCATCGGAAGCTGCCACTTTGGGTCTCATGAAGCCCAGAGCTGCCATGAAGGAGGCCCTGCTGCCCCGATGGATGGAGGGACCACTTGGAGAGGCCCTGAGGCTCCACGGAGAGGGCGCGGGATCCTGCTGACTCAGCCTCTAACCATCCCTGCCGAGGCCCCAGGCGTGGAAGTGAAGCCAACCAAGACCTTCTCAACCAGCCAGACTCCAGCTAAAGACCACCGCCAAGTGACCCCACTGATGCCACGTGGGCAGATGAGTTGGCCAACTGAGGCAGGCCTTAGTTCCTGACCCTTATTATATCATAAAATATAATGAAACAGTTGTTGTGAAGCCACTAAGCTTAGAGTAGTTTGTTACAGGCAAGAGACAAGAGAAAGCAAAGAGTGAACGTCTCCCACCAACTCCCTCAAAGAGCCTGTCTTAGTCAGCCGGGCTGGGCGACTTAACAACAGACAGTTGTTTCTCATGCTTCTGGAGGCTGCAAGCCCAAGCTCAAGTCCAAGATAACAAGGCCGTACAAAGAATTTTAGCTTTTGTTCTTCCCAGACGAGCATGTTTCACCATAAGCCATCATTTGGAGTGGTTGTGGGGAGAAGGGGGTTCTATAGATGAGGTGCTCAAATGCAGATAACTTCCTATTTTTGAATGGTTACACTGTCACTCCTGAACAGAGGGAGGGTATTATAAAGTTTTGAGAAGAGAAGGGGAGGGACGTGGGCAGTCTTGCTGAGCCCATGACCAGCCCCAAGACGACTTGCTGACATAACACACTCCAGCCTGCCACTTCTGGGATGGGAAGCAGCGTTTACACAATGCCTGTGGCCAGGCTCCACTCCTACAAGCAGGGTCACAGCAGGGTGCAGCAGATGTGGTGTCTGCTGGGGCCTTCGTCCAAGTTCGCAGGTGGTGCTTCCTCCCTGTGTGTCGTGGGAAAGGCGTGGTGGGAAAAGGCGGACGAAGCCCTCTGAGGTCTCTTTTACAAGGGCACCAGACCCACTCGTTCATGACGACTCCACCCTCATGACCTTATTGCCTCCCAAAGACCCCACCCTTAATCGGGGCCTTTAGTTAATGTAATACCATCATATTGGGGGTTTAGATTTCAACAGGTAAGTTTGGGGGGTACCAAATACTCAGTCCATGACAGAGGCCCTGTGTTGCTGGTTTTCTCAAGCACCAAAAATAGTGCAGACCTTTTCCTGCACGACAGGTCCGGCCGTTATCTTCACAGCAGCGCTGCACAGAAACCTCAGGGGCAGCTGGTACAGCGGCCACAGGGCACATGGAACACACTCTGGTCCTCACGACTCGGGAAAGGTGCCGTGGGCAGAAGGCTCTCCCGCTTTGCCCCCGAGAAACAAAACAAAGGCCCGTACACTGACAGGGCCCTAAGTCCAATGACGTGGGGCTGCATCCTTGCGGATCTAGACCTGAGCCTGGTTCTCAGACTTGGCCGCACATTGGAATCACCTGAAGTGCTTTTTAAAAAATACTGTTCCTGGACCCCTCTCTGAGAGCTGAGCATTGAGAGTTTTTGAAGATGATTCGGAACCGCAGCTCATTTTGAGAATCACTGCCCTAGGAGCTATCAAACATGTCAGAAAAAAGAAAAACATCTAGGATTACTCGAAGTTAATTTGAAACACAAATAGAGAAGACCTTTGATAACTGATAACCCTGACTGGGAACCCTGTGCCTGGAGAGATGCACCCCCCCTCCCTCCTCCCCTCCCTCCCACTTGGTGGGCACCTGGGATTGTAAAGGGGTCGGCCTCTGTTAGGAGTTGGATCGTGTCCCTCCCAAGTTGAAGTCCTAACCTGCAGGACCTCAGAACGTGACCTTATTTGGAAATAGGGTCATTGCAGATGTAACTAGTTAAGATGAGGTCACACTGGAGTAGGGCAGGCCCTGGTCCAAAATGACCGGCACCCTCACGGGAAGATGCTCCCGTGAACACAGACGCATGGGGAGAACGCCATGTGACGTCCAAGGAGCGCAGTGACGCATCTACAAGCCAGAGCACTGTAGACAGCTGCTGCCAGAAGCTAGGACAGGCAAGCAAGGTTCCCCTCCAGCTCCCAAGGGCGTGGGCCCTGCTGACACCTTCATGCTGGACCTCCCGCCTCCTGAACTGTGAGACAACACATTTCTGTTGTTCTAAGCAACCCAATTTGTGGCATTTTGTTAGAGCAGCCACAGGAAACTAATAATGCAGCCTCCAAATTGGCAAAATGGGGGCTTTGGCTCAGCTGGCCTTTTGTAGTCTGTGACCCTGCTTGTCAGAGTGGAAGCTGGCCACAGGCATTGTGTAAACGCTGCTTCCCATTTCAGAAGTGGCAGGCTGGAGTGTGTTATGTCAGCAAGTCGTCCTGGGGCTGGTCATGGGCTCAGCAAGACCACCCAAGTCCCTCCCCTTCTCTTCTCAAAACTTTATAATACCCTCCCTCTGTTCAGGAGTGACAGTGTAACCATTCAAAAATAGGAAGTTATCTGCATTTGAGCACCTCATGTATAGAACCCCCTTCTCCCCACAACCACTCCAAATGATGGCTTATGGTGAAACATGCTCGTCTGGGAAGAACAAAAGCTGAAATTCTTTGTACGGCCTTGTTATCTTCAACCTCAAAAAACCGTGGAAAGGAAAGACAGCCCCACCAGACCATCGCTCATTAACCCAGGGTTGGTGAAGGCCCTGGTAGAAAATGACCCTCACACACTTACATGGGAATGCAACTTTTTACAGCCAGGCCAGGGGGCAATTTGCAAGGCCCATTGACCCATTAACTGTTTAACCCTGTTGCTCTGCAAATGCAGTAAGAACGATGAAGCAGCGAGCACAGGGGACCCCTCGGGGGCGGATCTCCGTGGAGCGACATGACGTAGAGCCATACCATGGTCTGTTCTGTATGGGCTGTCTTGAAAATATGTCCAAGATACAGCAAAACACAGTGTTAAGATCTCATTTGTACTTAAATTTTAAAGATGAAGATATATGTGTATGTGTATGGATAAAAATCATGCAAAACAAATCAGACAATCTTAACAGTTGGTACCTGAGGTAGGAGGGCGGGAGAAGGAGAGGAACCTACCAGTAGTGAAAGGCAGCGCTGTTTTGTATTCTTATAAATTCCATGTGTGGTTTTTGTCCATGAGTTTCGAATTGCAGCTGTGAGTGTGGCGCATCAGTGGCTACCTGTGACTACAAGGCCATGCCCCTTGGTCGGCAGCCTCCCCAGGTACATTAACATCCAATGGGCTTCAGTTTCGTAAATGATCCCTCATCCAGCCTGTGTACAAAGCCTTAGAAGCTTAAAGGGGTACAAGCAGACAGCGCCCTGAGCACAGACACTGGTCTCTAGGCCTGGCAGGGCTGTGTAAGGCTGCCCAGGTGGTTGAGTGGGCAGTGAGCACACACAAGGAGCTACAACTGGGTAGAGGAAGGGCAGCTGGTCGTCTTCCACTTCCAGAGTATGGACAGGGGCTGCTCATGTGTAATCAGTGTACCAAACTGTAGCCACCTGGATACAGATGTGTTTGATGGTCAGCCACATCCAGTACCTCCTAACTCAGCCAAGCAATCTGCTGCCCTTGCAAACCTCAGTTATCCCCAATAATACAATGTGACACTGCTCATTGTAGTGGAGGGGGCTGAGATGATGAGGAACATCTGGGGTATAGTGTTAAGCCTGGTTGTGTACAACTGAGAGATTTTAAGGGTTAAGCAATACTTACCTCTGCGATTAACAGGGTCCTTAGCTACGTATGCAACATAGTCTGTTGTGTCCTGTTAAAGAAAAAGGAGATATCTGTAACACTATTCACAGTGAGAGACAACACAGCCAGGGATACAGTGCACAAACCAGCAAGCTTATAAGGACTTGACCATCACATAGCCAAATAATCAAATGCTGCCTGAGTAACAGCCCATGTAAGACTCAAACCGGAATGTGGGCAGAATCATCCAGAGGTCTTGTGATGCAGGTTCTGACTCGGCAGGCCTGGGGCAGGCCAGGGGCAGGCCTGGGGCTCTGCACTGCTAGCCAGCTCCCATGGGACACGGATGCTGCCAGTCCGTGCTCACACTTTGAGCAACAAGGATGATAGACACCTGTTCCCTGCATGTTGGGTCACCCAAGAAACACTGATACCCCAGTCCAACGTGCATAATCTGATTTAACTGGTTTGGATGTGAGGCCTGTGCATCAGAAATTTTTAGAAGCTGTCTGGATGGTTGCAGTGTGAACAAAGTTTAGAACCAACTATCAGCTCTATCTATACCAGTGGTCCTCAAATTTGAGCTGGTGCGAGAATCTTCTGCAAGGGTTGTTAAAACAGATTGCCGGGCCATACCCCAGACTTTCTAATTCCGTAGTGGTTCTGGGGCACTGCCTCAAAATTTGTATTTCTGACAAGTTTCTAGCTTCTAGTGATAAGGGGAGCACATTTTGGGAACCACTGGTCTAGAAGAGAAGCAGAGTGGATGCTCACAGGTTGGTGGCACATGCTCCCTGATAAGTGGATGAAATACGACAGTTCTTTTCTTCCCAGACAAAAATAATAATTTGAATCCTTTAAGATGTTTAAAAATATGAGCTCTGTTTAGAAGTCTCACCCTTCCATGTGAAATGAGTTTCCTTGCCTGTCTTCTCATTAAACCAGCACATAGAGGAAACTATGATCTCAAAAGTAGGTCAAGGCAACCCGGTGCATTTCATTTCTAGTAATTAATCACTTAGTTTCTAAACAAATAATTCTCTCAACTTTTGAAAGCAGAAAAGACTCCTCTGCAAAGTTGATATTTTCAGCATTCACACAAGTCTCCATGGGGCAACTGGTAAAGGTCTTCCCCATTTTTGCAGATATTTCCCAGATGTTACTGCTTGGAAGGGCTTCCTGGTTATTGATGCGCACCTCAAAGGCTTCTGCCGTGAGTTGCTCCATCGTTTTCTCCAGGGGCAGAGGAGATACCCCCTTCCCTTTCAATAGCGTCCCAGAAAAACTCTTCAGTGAGAGGTGGGATGAGGGAGAGAGTGAGTGTGGGGCGGGCATGTCCCTGGAGGGTGGTGGGTGGTGCTGGGCACTTTGTATACTTCGTCTCCCTGGATCTGCACAACCGCTGAGACTGGGGTGGAGCAGAAGAGTTCTTCCAGCAGCTCTGGAGACAATGGAACTGCGGCCTTGGGTCATTCCCCAGGGGGTGGGCTTATCTGAGCTGTTTTCTTTTCCTACTCAGGACCCTGTCCATTGGTACATTAACAGACTGGCTAGGGAAGGGAAGTGGGAGATCATCAAACTGGTCAAACTGTCTTCTGGTGATTTCCATCAAGGTGATCTGGCTAGCATGTGAAGCTATTGGCAAAAATAAGAACTGCAGTTTGTGATCACAGACACTCTTCCTGAACTTGTGGTGTGTGAATTCTGGACAGGCCCTTACAGAACATCCCAGAGTGTCTCAGAGAGCATTGGTGTTTCCCAAACTGAGATCCATGTAGCTCTGGGTTTAGACGGGTGTATTCTCCAGTTTGAGAGGTTGCTGGAATTTATTTTTAATTTCGCGTTTTCACTCTATTATTATCTTAAAAATTAATACGAGAATATCCAGGATCATTTAGATAACCATTGTGTTATCAAGTCCTGCACACAATTTCAGTGCCAAGATTTGCAGCTGGGTATCCAACACTGTGGGTGCCAGGTTTTTAAAGAATTAGAAAGAACAGTCAGAGTAGACTCTGCCCACTTGAAGCAAACTGATGTCACATGGGTACATGATGCACAACTGAAGTTTTGCTTGAATAGAAAAAATCAGTGGAAGAATTGAGTCAAGCAGGTACCCATGGTAACAGATACCAAACTCAAAAGACTCTGTACCATGTGGCCAGCCCAGTATCACATTTGGGAACAGAGATTTAGTTTCAGCAAACTTTGTCCATCACAGTAAATTAATGTTACTTTGAATGTTATTGGTTTTACAGTGTTTATTTGTATTTAACTTCCAAATTTTATTGGGGTTTAGAGTTCAATAAAAAGTATAAACATAAGAAGTCTACTCTTTATTTTTGTACATATTCAAGTAACAAAATTAGAATCAGCCTTAGTGGCATATACAAGAAAATTTTTTTTTTTTTTTAATTTTTACTTTGATCTAAGAAACTCTCCTATGGCTCCAAGTTGAGGAAGAAGAGACAATAAAGAGATATAATGTGCCCGTGTCTCACAGTCGGTCAATGGCCAAGCCAGGACATTGCTTTTCTGATGCAACATTGACCCTTCCCTGGCACAGTAGGTGAACGTATTACTGCTTAAGACAGCATTCTTGTCATTATCCGGCTACGCAGCAAGCACACTAGGTCCAAAGACTGAACTCTAAAGTTCTCGTTCTGTACTTCTCCATCCCTGTTCTCACTCCCCAAGACCCTCCGAGCCTGGCCATTGTTCTGGTATTCTTTTGGTGGTCTTTTAACACTGCTAATAATAGTATTAATAGATTGTAATTATAATCTGCCCTTTTTTGGAGGGGGATTCATAGTGTTTTTTAGTCTGTCTTGTTTGACACTTCAAAATACCGTTTTCCTACTGGGTAAACGGAGGCACGAAGCAATAAATGGCATGTGCACTTAGCAGGAGAACAAGGGCTAGAACCTAGAATTGTAAATTTTATTAAAAACATCTACCAATTGTAATGTGCTAAATTCATGATTACAGATCAGTTTGGAATGGGATCTCATGTGCAACATAATGTGCATTTGGGTTGGTTAAAATAGAAAGTAACTAGGCTTCCTGTCCCATTATGACATTTTCTGTACCAGAAAAAAAAAATCACAGAAAATATAAAAGGTTATGGACTACTTTAAGGATTACTGAATGTTTTAGATTTTTTTTTAAATGAAGAGGTAATGAGGAAATTTGGGGAAAAAAATTGTATAGTCCTATGTACATCCTGGAGGACAAAATAGGTTTAGCACAACCAATGTATTTGGCTTCCCATGATCTACATATTTGTATCTCCAACTCATAATATCATCATTAAGAGAAGGTTTCAGAAAAGTTCCCGAAGGGAGCTATTAATGCAGGTGTACAAGACCTTTGCCTTTTATCTTTCAAACCGGGTTACCTTCCAAATTTAGGAAACTATGGTAACAAGCATCACAGTGGGCAAGCAATTAGACAACCACCGCAAACTAGTTAGAGCTAGAGCTAGATACAGAGAAAGGTATAGGGATGTGCACAGGGGCCGCACAGGTGGAGAATAGGTAGATGTGTGCACACGGACAGGATCTTAAGAAATGTGCCTTGGATGAGTTTGATTAGGGGAGACTTCCACTTTCTAAATATACATCTGGATGAGGTCACTGATGTACAATGAAACATAAGAAATCATAAGGATTAGAAAGCAAGGAAAGGCACAACAAGGAAAGGGAAGAAAAACAAAAAAGAAAACCACTGTGGTAGAGTTTTGACAACAAGGCCCTTAGTATGAAAAAAGGTCTAAGCCATTTGACCCTATGGAATCGGTGCTCTCACCATCCTTTGGCAACTAAGCAGAGACATGAGGCAAAAACCACCTGGAAGGGGGGCAAATCCCTTCCCCTGCCAAGCACCTGGGCTCAAGGATCTGACATGGATGGGGTCTCTGGAAAGCAGTGGTGCCCAAGCCTCTTGCGGCAGCCTGTGCCAGCCCTGGCAGGAACGATGCCTGTGGTGGCCGTGGCGCCTGCCCCTGCGCCTGCCCAGGTGGAGTATGGGAGGAAGGGTGGGAGGGCACCGGGAAACTCCCTTCCTGGCTAGAACTACACAGGTCACTGCCTTGAGATGAGATTCATAAAACATGCAGATTACCCAGGCAACCTTGGACTGGTAAACTTTTATGTAAAATCTGAAGTTGCCAATTCATAATTTGGCCAAATGACACAAAATGATAATAATAACAAAACATTACCATAAGACAGTATTTTATCATAAAAAGGCTAACATCAAAAAAATATAAAAAATAATAAAAAGGACAACTTCTTGGGATAGAAGATCATTTTTTCAATTGAATAAATTTAGCTCCAAGGAAAGCTCACTCTATCGTCCTAATTTTAACATTTTTCCCTGGACTGGTGAGAACTTTGTCCAGAGCAATGAAAATTAATATGATAACACTCCAAAGGGCAAGCTTTCTCCCCTTTGCTTGCTGAAAGGGCTGACTTTGCATTCCCCCCTCCTCCCTCTGGGCCTCGCCCCCTTGTGACCGATTTCCTGCCCGGTTTCTTTGAAGAGCTGGACCCCGACTGTGAGCAGGCAGTAGTGCGTGGACACAGAGCAGGAGGGGCTTGTCTGCACTCTCCTTCCTGGCAGCACAGTTTAGAGATGGCCACCCTGATGCTGAAAGCTGACATCATAGCGTGCGTGGCATTCCTGCCCAAATGTGGGAGCACATTCCCTCGTTAGTCCACCTTCTTTATTTAAGCAGCAAGGCAAAAATAGAACATTCTCATTCTGTTCTCTGTTCTCCCACCCTCCCTCCCTCTCTGTCTGTCTCTGCAATTCCTTCCTTGTTGGCAAAGCAAACCATTAAAGGGCTACAGTGTCAACATTTGGAGAGAAAAAATGTCGATTTTAAATGTTTATGAAGAAAACAGACTACGTAAATGCACAGCCTTTGAGTAGACTTAAAATATAAAGATGGAGGTCCGATCGGAAAAAAATAAAGAAGCAAGGCAAGCACAGAGTGACGATGGGAAAAGTCCCCGGCAACTCTGAAAACTGGGGGGCTATTTTGTCACCTCTTAAGAAAACCAGTGCTTCCAGGATTTTTGACAGCTTTTGGCTAATGAAATGAAAATTAATGGTAGGTCCTTGTCATAGGATATTCCTAAAAACAATGATAGGCAAGACGACCTTTTGACATCAGGAGGGGGAAACCAGTTGGCATCACAATTAACTTTCCTGATGGCGTCTTACGAGGCACACTTTTGAAGCTGAAACCCCTTCTCAGACATTCCCAGCAGGAGCAGGAGGAACACTTACCGGGTCTCCCCCAGAGGCGAAGGAGATGGACCGCATGTGGTGGTTCGCTATGATCTGCCAGGCCCAAAACGAGAAACAAGATGTGCTGTTATCATCCTTTCCACGTCTCGGAAAGCCAACTGTTTATTGGCAGGCATTACAAAGTGACACATTTTCCTGAGAGTTGGTACCCATAAGAAAGTAAAAATTGTCAAAGTAATAACAGTAGATAACCTTTCATAACTGATGGCTGCTGTCCCGCACTTTGCCGGATGATCTCATCTAAAGGAGCAGCCAGTGACATAAGAACGGTTGTAAGCCCGTTTTACAGGCAAGGAGCCCGAGTCCGCAGGGGCCAAAAGGCTTGCTCAGAGTCAAAGAGCTAGTGATCGGCAGAGCTGTGATGGAACACAGGGGGCCAGGGTCTTAACAACCATGCCTCTTCCAGAAGGAAACTGTCTCACCCACACACCAGAACATCTCACCTTGCAGATCTGATTCCTAGGACACACTGGGTCTCTGATACAGACCTCACGCTAGAATGGGGGGAAGTGTGCCCATCCCCGCATTTCATCCCATTTGTATCATGAGCGTATAAATTAGAAAGCCAGCCTCCAAGATTCAAAGTCAGTACCATCTAGAGCACTCTTGTAATTTATCAATTTAAAAACCAGAGGGGACAATCCAAGTTCATTTTAAAATGGGAAATTTCCATTAGCCGTACAAATTGCAGTGTACAATGGAATTTAGTAGACACTGAGTAAATTAGAAGCTGCCCTAAATTTTAAAAGCCACGTAAGTCTTCCATGCTATTTTTATCTTTTTAAAGACAATGTAATGGCACTGAAGTAAATTTCCAGGGGTGGGAATAGAGCACTTGTCTCCACCACAACCTAACCGGGTTCCTTTCTGTAGTCCCCTCGGGCCCTGGCCCTTGGGCAGGCAGGTAGAATTTACACAGCCATAATCATACATCCCAGCGATTTGTCCAAACATGCTCCTGTGAAACTTGAAATAAAATATAATTGAATTATAAAAGGAAATGGGACAGTTTTTTTTTTTTTTTTTGAGACAGAGTCTCACTGTGTTGCCCGGGGTAGAGTGCTGTGGCGTCATCCTAGCTCACAGCAACCTCAAACTCCTGGGCTCAAGCAATCCTCCTGCCTCAGCCTCCCGAGTAGCTGGGACTACAGGCATGCGCCACCATGCCCGGCTAATTTTTTCTATATATTTTTAGTTGTCTGATTAATTTCTTTCTATTTTAAGTAGAAACGGGGTCTCACTCTTGCTCAGGCTGGTTTCGAACTCCTGAGCTCAAACAATCCGCCCACCTTGGCCTCCCAGAGTGCTAGGATTACAGGCGTTAATGACTGCTTCGGTTGTTGGCACTTGCAAAAAGTCAGGATCCAGAGAAAGCTAGGTGTGTAAGAGAATGAGGCTGGCCTCAGCCTGCACCCAAGCCAGGCAGAATTTAGCTAAAACAGTGGCCCTGCTCCCTGGAATCTAACCCCAGCGCAGGGGTAGAGGGCTCCTGAGAGGCCAATGAGGAAATAGCACTCACCAAATAATGATAAACTATGGCTTCCAAATTTTAAATGTTTGCTTATTTAACTTTTGATCATAAGGCAGCTCTACAACTGGGGTTTGGGAATTAGATTGGAAGCTATGATCTGGGGAAAAAAATGAAAGTCATATTTGGCCAGCAAGAGGCATGACCACTGGGGTCGAGCGTCACCCCTTTGGGTAAGAGAGAAACTGAAAATGGGAGTGAGAAAATGAGCACTGATTGACCCAAAGCATGTGTTTCTGCTCTGAACGCTGCATCTTGTTTCTTCTACTGGGAACTCTGAAAAGACAAGTGGGTGTGGTCTTCCTGGGTCTCTCTGGATGGAGAAGGGCGTGTCCAGCCTGGCTATTCTCAATTTGCTACAGCTGGGCCCTAAAGTTAGCTGCCTCCTGCCCCACAGCCGCAGACTCGCCATCCGAGGAGCTCAGCACCCCCCCAGGGCAAGAAGATCCCACCTGGACACCCTCACCCCACTGCCACGTTCCAGGATGGAGCAGAGCCAAGCTGGCCCCTCATCCTAGTGCTCTGAGCGTTTGCTTTCTCTTTTATTGAGGTGGGCAAGGGCAATTCTGGGAGGAGATCCCACAGAATTGAGGCACCTGAGGACTAAACAAAAGGTCCCTAAGACATATAGAAAAGAACACTGGCTGTGACGGAGCGAGCCGAGCCTGGTGGACCAGACTCTGCACACAACGGGCGCTCAGCCGGAGACCCTGCCAGAGAAAGGCTGAGCCTGTCCAGCACGCTGAGTCCACAACCTCCAGAGCAGATTAAAGATAAAAAGACTCAAGGGATTGTTTACGGTTCCGTGAGGATAAAAGAATCGAGGGAGAAGTGGTTTCCAGTTTCGGCAAAACGAAGCCATGTTGCTTCTCATGTCTCCACAAGATCTAGGATCTATTTCAAAGCATTGGGTGTAGGTCGGGTGCGGTGGCTCACGCCTGTAATCCTAGCACTCTGGGAGGCCGAGGTGGGTGGATAGCTCAAGGTCAGGAGTTCGAGACCAGCCTGAGCAAGAGCGAGACCCCGTCTCTACTAAAAATAGAAAGAAATGATCTGGACAACTAAAAAAAAATATATATATATATATATAAATTAGCTGGGTGTGGTGGCACATTCCTGTAGTCCCAGCTACTTGGGAGGCTGAGGCAGAAGGATCGCTTGAGCCCAGGAGTTTGAGGTTGCGGGCAGGGCAACAGAGCAAGACTCTGTCTCAAAAAACAAAAAAAGCCTTGGGTGGGAGGTGGAGGGATAAATGAAGCTGGGGGAATGCTGCTTGCTTATCTGGGTGATACGGAAATCAGTAAATACAAACATGTACAGCAACAGAAAGGCCACCACTTGCACCCCTGGTGACACACCATCAGAATCAGGCAGTGTCACGCGGAGGTCACAGCCGAGCGCCAGCTCACACTGCTGGCCCCAGAGGCTGAGCCCGGGCCAGGCAGGGCAGGGCAGTCCACACTCCACAGCCCCTGTATACTGCACAAGCATTTCACTTTCTTTGTGCCACAGTTAACCCTCAGAACTGCCTTGTTTAGCCAAGACAGCTACTTACATACCCGTTTGACCAGCTGAAGAAATGAACAATAGATAGATGGAGAAGCCTAAGAGACGGACACTGAGCAAGAACACACCCGCCCTAAACGGAATTAACCTTAATGAATATTGTGGTTGTGCGGCCGCAGTCAGCTCCAAATCCATTCACACGGGCTATGCCACAGACACACCACGTCTCATCGCCCTACAACACCATGTACTACAAGATGCTCCAAAATAACAAGCTATTAAGGGAACAATTGGACTATGCCATCCACTTCGAAGGTGATAAAATAAAATGTGGCCTATAAACCAACAAAATATGATACACAAATAAAAAAATAGGGGCAAGGACATTAAGAGGAGACTTGGCACGTATGTCACCTTTTTTTACATTGCAAGTAAACCAATGATTTCCAGCATTATCCTCCCCCAAAAAAGGTAGTTTATAGCAGAATTAAAGAAAACCAATTTCATCCATCCTTCAGTTGGTGACCAAAGTGGTCAAAGTTTACAGACTAGTAAAGATTTGTTGCAAACATATTCCAGGTGAGCTCAGTACGGCTGCAAATTAGACGCTTGTGAAACACTCATCGTTTGGGGTTGTTGGCAGGGACAGAAATCTGAGCACCCACAGACCTGTTTGGAGTCGGGTGTACGCAGGTTCAGACTGGCGGTGGAGATGGTCAGAGAGATACTCATCCCCGCAAACTGGAGGTTGCTCTTTCCCAAGATGCTGGACAGCATTTTGCTAGGAGGCTGTGAAATCAAAGAGCAGTATTTTAGCTGTTTTTGTTTACCAGAGGGCACACTATCTGGGCCTTTGTGTCTTTCCTGTCTAAAAGGGTGGTGACATCAATGTCTGCTATACCCCCAAACCCTCACTGACTGTCCCTTCCTCCTTAGGCACAGGAAAACAAAGTGAAAGGAATGAGCTGGGAGGGTGGGATTTGGGGCTAACATGCACATTCTAGAATATGCGATATGCAAATTGCAAACCACCTAATATGCAAACACTGAGATGAGGACCCTTGCAGGCAGTCAGATGGCAGTCAGAGGTGTCAGCGTCTCATGGGGGTCCCTTGTATGTAAACCCAGGGAAAGTGCCACAGGCCGGGCCCAGCCCAAGCTTGCAGACTCAGAAACTCGGCTGGTTCCACCACACCACAAGTCAAACGACCTCTCAGGAGAAGACTAAAACGCACCAGCTCTCGGGGCTTACGAGCCATCCCAGAGAATTGTGAGGATGCTTGTTGCTGAAGGGAATGGACCACAAATGTTTTGGCCCAAACATCCTCCCAGGTCAGGACTCTCCTAAACTGTCCAATGGGCCTAGAGCCAGCTCAAGGATGGACAGACACAGTCTGGCTGTACCTGGTGTACCTATCACCCCGTCAGAAATGTCCTTGGCACAGGACAGGCAGGCTGCGTTTTCTGGCCAGGCCCCTTCTCTCTGGGGACCTGGAAGGGCACTACCAACCCACGTCTCTCTGTACTTCGGGACCAAGCTATCCTTTGATTTGGGGTTAGAATCCTCTCTGTTAATTAGTTTCTAACAAGGTACACACTGTTGTTAATCTCCTGAAGGAGCTATTTAAAATCAGAGATGCCCAGGCCCCACGCATGAGATTCTGATCAAGTACAGCTGGGTGGAACCCAGAAATGGGCATTGTTTCCACCACAGAGCCATGAGGGTACCCCAGGTTTGTTAGCACCACCTCCCTCTGAAAGATGAGATTCCCTGTCTCTGTTCTCAGACGCCTTCCTAGTAATGGTTCCTGCAGTCAAGAGTCCAGAGACCTGCTTGGGACTCCCCGGACTGGGGAGAACATAGGCTGCACACCGAGGCCTTCCTTCAGTGTTCTCTGCCTGAAACTCAGCTGCCTGTGGGGCGTGAAATCCCCGGTCCTGAGCACAGAAGCCCTGGAGCCCTGGGACAGCAGATCCCAGCATCCCAAACAGTCTGCGATCGGGACCGCTCAGCCCCAGGGCAGATTCAGACATTCTCTGACGGAAAACCTATTCTACAATTCAGGTCAGGGATAGAAAAGTCCTGATTGTAGCTTTTTAGTTATATATTTACCAGACACTTAACTAAAGAATTTTTCTCACTTTCTCCTAGTTGAGGCTTTTTTTTTTTCCTTCTGGTCCAACCACCTTCAGGATGAAAAGTTCTACTACAGTGGTTGAACACGCAGCCTCGAAGCCAGGCCATCTGAGCTTGACCTCAGACACCCCCTACTCGCAAGGTGGCCAGTCCTCTCCCTGCCTCAGTTTTCATCGCCTGCAACATGGGGATATTCAGCTGTGTTCTAGCACTGGCTTGTACCAGCTAATGAGGTCCAATTATTAAATTTAGGAATTTTATCATCTGGCCGTTAAACACAGCTGTTATTAAAAATTAAATTATGTAAACTTACAATTAAATAAATTACATTTAAAAAACAGATAACAAATCCTCAACACTCATCCCTTCCTAATTGTTTTGCTATATTAACTATTAGCTCCGCTTTTCTGGTTACTTGCATCTATTGGACCTGTACAGTGGACGAGCTACTGTACATCTCTTCCCGACTCCATTTTCAGAAACAGCATGTTGAGAGCTGGAAATCAGCCACAGTGGAAGCATTTACACCACAGAAATTGGCAAATGCTACAAATTCAGTGCTCTCATTCTCCTTCCCAACCCGAGAGCTGGGTGTGAAACATTTACCGACACACCACTGGGGATATCTACTGTAAAGAGTTGTTATAACTAAGGGAGTTCATGGCTATAAAGTGCTCAAAGAACTGTCTGGCCCTGTCTTAAGTGTTTGTTGGTATCATGATCTTCAGGGTTAAAGCCACAGTGAGTGACCAGGGTGTCACTTCTGGGGCAATGACAGCTAACTGTCCTCAGCCTCGTAGGAGAGAGAGCAATGTAAACTCTTTCTGCTTTTAGAAGTGAGAAGAGCCAGGCCACAGAAAGAGGACAACGAGCAATTCTCTGTGACTGAAGATACGAGCGGTGAAACGAGAGCGGAAGGAGGAGATATGGCTAAACGCAGAGCATGAGCATGGCACCTTTCTCTTCTTGAAGGCTCCTTTGGCACCAGGGACAGCTTCGCAGACTCGGCTGATGGCTTCCCTGCAGAGGACAGGAAGAAAGATCCATTTATCATGTGTTGATCGGGATTATGGAACCCAGAAACACTACACTTGCACGACTAGAGAAAATGACTGCCTGTTTATTTCAGCACAGAAAATAAACAGCTATCAATTCAGCAATCAGCCAATTACTCTTCTAAAACATAAAACTAAGCAAAACACGGACAAGTCATCTCTGACTGGCGATATTCGAGTTCTGTTCGTTGTGGTGGTTGTATGCCAATAGTGTATGTGTACCAATGACACATCTTTTAAGGGACGTTTGGCTAAGATTCCATTTTTTAAAATCAGCACCCTAAAATGTAACCTTCCCAATGTTATCTTCATTTCTATGGTCAGGACACTAGGCCCACACCTAATCAATCACTGCTAAGGATCAAAAAACCTTCCGCAGTGAGTTAGAATACAATAAATTTGGTCCTTGAGTTTCATATCCAAGTTCTGCAGGAAATAGTATAAAATCCAGAGGGTTTGGAAGGAGACCTCCCATAGCATATGCCGCAGCCAGAGTGAGGTTATGTGTAGGGCAGCGCCAGGGAACTGCACGGATGGAGCAGCTACTACGTCCAGGTGACACAGGAAAGTGACCCCCAACGCTGGGAGCCACTTGAGGTCCCTGAGGGTCCTTAGCTTCGCACTAGAAAGAATTCAGGAGTGAGCCGACAGTATAAAGTGAAAGTGAGATTTATTGAGAAACTACAGAAAGTCTACTCCACAGGCAGAGCAGAGGCCGGCTCTCCCTGCAGAAGAGAGCCGGCCCCTGGTTCCCCCTGCCTTTCGATCTAAGCCTCGGCTTAGTTAACAAGGGGAGGAATATTCGTGCAAAGGGCGATGTCTTCCTGGACTCGGGCGACGCCCTCTATTCCTCCACCATCTTGGCTCTAACCGGGAACTTGCCCTGCCTCCGTCCTGCTTTGAGCAGGGCAGTTCGAAACTTTGTTTTGAGACTGCCTGACCCAGTTGGGCGATGCCAGCAATGCTGAACGCAAAGCAGGCCCTGCCCGTCCCGTCTCACAGGCACGGTCCAGTGCGGGACCAGCAGGCCGGAGGGCACAGGGAGCGCGAGGGAGGCGAGGGCCGGGGCAGGCAGTGAGGACCAGGGCGACAGCAAAGGGGTGCTGAGGAGCGAACACGCCTTGTGACTCCACCTACGTGAGAAATGGCCGGGAGTTGGCCAAAGGTGGCTCCACATCCGGGACCCAGAAAGGAGCGGTGAATGTCTCAACTCCCACACAAAGGAGGAGAAAACAGCAGGACATAGAGAAAAATAAATAAACGGGAATTTGGAGACACAATAAATGAGAAAGAAGAAAATGGGTACTCAGAAACATTCTACAAACTTTCCGAGGTGAATATTCTTTAAATTGATTCCTACCATGCAGGCGAACCATAATCCCCATCACGACGCAGTGCTTTTAAGAGAATGCCAGGGAACTGCGGAGTAGGCTCTGAAGCAGTGTGACTTGGAAAAGGCGAAGTGAGGAACAAAGGGTTTTGGCGTTGACACTTACTCATATTTACTGTATAACACTATTATGACTGTGGTTCTACCAAAGTGATCAATCATGTATCACCCAAAGTACTTTCTAAAAGTAAATCCTATTGAAGGTCAAGTTGTCTCTTTGTAGAACTATAGGAGCCCCAGTGTCTACATTTTATCTGTTTAATTTTTTAAAAAAAACAGTTCAGTGACTTTCTACATTGTGTTTATTACATTAAGTGATATCTTTAGCTGAGCAAGGCAGACAAACCCCTGATGGTCCCAGCAGGCTAGAGAGACACAGCATGGAGGAGTCTCTCCTAAGTCATTCTTTAAACACTCCTAAAAAGCCTCAGTTATCCACAAGTCACACAGCGCTGAGCAGCAGGCCTCTGCTCCTTCCGTACTCCTGGGGGAGGCAGAGAGGAACCACACATCAGCAGTGAGAAGGGATTACGACGTGCTGCAAGTTATGAACTGTTCACCCAATGCCTCCTCACACAGAATAGCATGCAAGGGTCTCAGGGCACATTTGCAAATGTAAGAAGTTTCAGAAATTTCCCAGAGCTCGGGTACTCAACAAAAATCCTAAGGAGCCCGCTTGTGAGCCTTTAGAATCCCCGAAGGGGTTTTCAAATTGAGCCGCTTTTCAGAAAAATGTTCTTCCTTCATCATTGGCATAAATTTGTTTCCAACGTTCACATCATAACACGTGTGTGTGGATTCTCATTTCAGCCAGGCTGATGGTATCTATTTCTGTTTGAAATAGAAATGTGACATAACTATTAATAACTTCAATATTTAGATGTCTGAAATGAGTTACTTAAACTCTAAAATCTAATTTTAAGTGTAACTATTCTCAATTTCCCTCCGTACTGTTTGAGTACAGTGCATTTTGGTGAGCAGTACTGTTTCAGTTTGTTCACTTAGCAATAATTATTTAGCTTTGTGTAATTCCATTTAATCCCCGTTTGAGTTCCAGGTACCGATTTTGCCCTGTTTTTAATAATAGAGATTGTTTCTTAACATTCTGTTCCGTGTGCCCACATTTCAGGGAGCCAAACCATGGCCTCAGAGCTCGGCTAATATGAAAATGGACCATTTGGCAGGCTCCGCGGTCAGCTGAAAGGAACCGAAGCCAGCCCTGCCCCAAATGCAAGCCCTTGCTTTCCTCCTGCTTTTACCATCTTCCCCTCTTCAGGCTAAAATTCTCGTCAATAGGGCGAGTACCATTCACAGTTAATGACATTTTCATTGGAATGTAGAATTTTAGAACCGGACCCTTGAAATCACATAGCTCCATCCTTCTCCCTCCTCATCCGTCTCACTGTGGCCCAGCCCATTGCCCCAAACACACACACACTTTGCAGATGGAAATAATGAAAAATGAAACAGTAGAGGAGTTGGATGATTTCTGCCCTCCTGGGTTTATATGCATTTAGTAGGGGGAAGGGGAAGGATGACAAGCAAACAGATACATAAAACAGCAAATGGAGATCAAGTTCATCAAAAAAAAACAAGGAATGAGCCACGTGGTGCCCCTGGCTCCGGAGGAGGTGACGTTTGCTGGGTGGGCAGCTACCTACGGAAAAGTGAAGCTGGGCTCCTATCTCCCGCCTTATGCATAGATAAATTCTAGATGGGTTGCAAATTGGAATTTGCTTGTAATGAAACCATGAAAGCACTAAAAGGAAACTGGGAAGGATATTTTTTAATTATCTTTGAGTAGAAGGATGATACAAAATCCAGAAACCATAAAAGAAAAATACTGACACACTCAATAGCATAAAAATAAAAATTTATGCACAAGAAAAAATGGTAATATTTCACCATCAAGGAGAGAATAGCCTTAATATAAGTCAGCAAGGAAAATACCAAAAGCCCAATGGAGAAATGAGTAAAGGATATGAACAAAGAGTTCACAGGAAAGGCAATACAAATGGCTCTTGAAAATACTAAAAAATCACAACTTTACTCATAACAAGAAGGCAAATTAGAGCCTAAACTCAAATTCTGTTTTCACAGCCAAAGACTAAAGCTTGGTAATGCTGTGCGGGGACACAGACGCTTGCAGGTTGGTGAGCACAGAGCTGGGCGCAGCCTCAGCAGGTGCCGTGTGGTCACATCCCCAACAAAATGGAAGACACACAAACCCTTTGGTCCCGGAGAATGTTCGCTCTAAATGCACTCAGATGGGCTAGATGACTTGAGTAACATGTTGATGGCAGCAATATTTTTAATAGACTGCGGGGAAACAATCAATGACTACCATTAAGACCCAGTTTACCAAACTGTGATCCATCCATACAACAGACCACCAACATGGCTGCGCCACTTCCAAGGGATATGCCTTGAGAGCCTTGTTTACGCCCATTCTCACCCCCACTCCCTCCTCAGCACCCCCCAGTTCCCACAAGTTGCTCCTGCAAAATCGCCAGCTCCCTCCACCGTAGCAAATCTAGCTGGACCCTCGCTGACCCTCCACTGCTTGGTTCGACTCTCCTGATGCCTCCACCCCTGGTGCTCCTTGATCACCCCACCCCCACTCGTGTGAGCTTCTTGCCTCTCTGAGACTCTGGAGACCCTAAATCTGGAAGCTGTAACCCCCGGCGCATCGCCCCTCCTCTGCTGTGAGACCTGGGCCTCACGCGGGTGCGGCTGCAGTCAGGGCTGTTCTTGCCCCTGACCCCGCCCTTCTGTGCAATGCACTCAGTGGGCCCTTGGGTCCCCAGCCCAGACCAAGCCCCTATCTAATCCACTCGCTTTCACACAAGAAAAAGTCCTCCCTCACTAACACATCACATCAGCAATCGACATGTCCAGGCCGAGCGGGACAGTAAAGACCCTGAACTTCACGGAAAGTGAAAGCGCTCCTCCTCCCTCCCGAGGCCTGCCCAGGGCTGCAAACCTCCAGGTGGCTGTGGAAGAAAGGTGCCTCCTAACCTCAGAGCTTCAGCTCCTGGCCCCATGGCAGGGTGGGGTGACTGCGGGGGTGGGTACAGAGGGGTCAGGGGTCAAGTGGTCACTCCAACAGCCCCACAGTAGGCCTGTGGTTAGTAGCTGACTCCTCACAGAGACACTTTCCTTTCTTCTTTAAGGCTCCTCCCCTAGGAGTATGTGGGTGGCCCTGGGGTGAAAAGGACAGTGTCTGTTCATCCCCAGGCGCCAGCCTGCTCCCAGCATCCACACCAGTAGGAAGCTGCAGTCTCTTGCTGCAGACATGGCTCTGATCTTCAGCAGAAAGCCCTTGGGGTGAGGCCACAGAGGTGCCCCCACCCCTGGGACCAGCACCTCTGCCAGGCTGCAGTAGGAGGGTGGTTTCTCCCCAAATACAGCGCCTCCTGCTGTGGGCTTCACTCGTGTGGTTGAGACATCGGTCCAAGGGTGACGCAGACCCAAAGTGTGCATCATCTCCTCGAAGCCCCTCACTCTGTTTGAAGCCAAAGGGAACCATCCGCCCCCTCCTCACTGGGGGGCTCACAGGGCACTAAGCGCTTGCT